AAGGTTCCTGACATCACCAAATATTCAATTTCATTGTCTCAATGTAGTCGATGCGTATGAATCTCATTCTGAGAACATTCAGAACACAGCAAAAAAACCCAAGACTATTAGGTGAGGTGCTACCCTCAAATTTACCTAGCTCCTGCTCCGTCCCTTCTCTCTTCCTTCTCTGCCTGGCTTGAACTTATTCATCGTGGCCAACCTCAGGTGTCCTCTCTCCTCCCAAAAGTGTCCCTGCACCGTCCTACATGCCTCTCCCGCCAGTCTCCATGCAACCCTGTGCTTCCCTTGATGGCTGAGTTCATGATGCCTCCTGTCCCACCGCCCCTCCAGTCAGTGAACTACTTCAGAGTAAGGATCCTCGTTCATCTTTCTACCCTGTACAAACTCTCCTACCTCCCCACCCCTCCACCAGAACTCCTACACACACCAAAAAAAGGCCATGGCTTTCTAGCCATTCTTTCAAGATTAAAAGAAATAGCCACACAATAGCAAAAAGATGGAAATAACCTAGATGCTCATCAACAGATGAATGGATAAACAAACTACTGTACATACACACAATGCAGTATTATGCAACCATAAAGAACAATGATGAATCTGTGAAGCATCTCATAACACTGATGAAACTGGAGGACATTATGCTAAGTGAAATAAGTCAGTCACAAAAGGACAAATATTGTATGAGACCACTACTGTAAAAATTCATGAAAAGGTTTACACACAAAGAGAAAATCTTTGATGGCTATGCGGGAGGGGAGGGGTGGGGGAAAAACACTAAATAGACAATAGATAGGTGGTAACTTTGGTGCAGGGTAAGACAGTACACAATACTGGGGAAGCCAGCACAATTTGTACTAGGAAAGGTCATGGAAGCTCCATAGACACATCCAAACTCCCTGAGGGACCGAATTACTGGGCTGATGGCTGTGGGGACCATGGTCTTGGGGAATATCTACCTCAATTTGCATAACATATTTCATAAAGAAAATGCTCTACATTCCACCTTGGTGAGTAGCATCTCAGGACTTAAAAGTCTTTAAGTGGACATCTAAGATACTCCAATGGTCTTACCCCTTCGGGAGCAAGGGAGAATGAAGAAAACAAGACAAAGGGAAGGATTAGTCCAAAGGACTAATGGACCACAACTACCACGGCCTCCACCAGACTGAGTCCAGTACAACTAGATGGCGCCCAGCTATTACCACTGACTCTCTGACAGAGATCACAATAGAGGGTCCTGGATAGAGCTGGAGAAAAATGGAGAACAAAATTCTAACTCACAAAAATAGACCAGACTTACTGGCCTGACAGAGAATGGAGACACCCCGAGAGTATGGCCCCCGGACACCCTTTCACCTCAGTAATGAAGTCACTCCTGAGGTTCACCCTTCAGCCAAAGATTAAACAGGCCCATAAAACAAAATGAGACTAAAGGGGCGCAACAGCCCAGCGACAAGGACTAGAATGCAGGAGGGGACAGAAGATCTGGTAATAGGGAACTCAAGGTAGAGAAGGGAGTGTGTGGACATGTCGTGGGGTTGTTAACCAATCTCATAAAACAATATGTATATTAACTGTTTAATGAGAAACTAGTTTGTTCTGTAAACCTTCATCTAAAGCACAATTAAAAAAAAAACATACAATATCTATTTGAAGACAACTTTGAAATGTTACTGAAAAACAACATAATACTTGACAAAATTGAAAGGCACCCCTTTTCTTGGGTAAGAAAACTCAGTCTTGTACAGATACCTATATTTCCTAAATTATTCTATAATTGTGATAAAATCTCAATAAAAATACCAATAGGATCGGGGTGGGGAAAAAAACAAGCTAATTACAAAGTTTATGTAGAAAAATAAACATGCAAGAAGAACCAGAAAACTTCTGAAAAAGAAGTATAATGAGGGGGTGAGGCTGTCCTTATTGACTATTAAAGCATATACGAGGGTAAGTCAAAAAGTATTGCTACTAGGATTCCAGTTCACACACACACAGGTTTATTCCAAACAAAACATGTTTAAACATGTCTCTGGGATCTGCGGACAGCTGCAGACAAGTTCTCTCAACGATACACTTGGCTTAGTCTCGTCAGGGTGCCTTCCAAAAAAAAAGGATACTTTCTGTGCCACGGAAACGATTTTGAGGTCAGGGCTAACACTAAATTTTTAACAAACCTCAAGCGGGTATCTTTCTAAATCACTGAAAAACTTTGCAACAAGTTTATGGGAATGCTGCCCCACATAAAACAACATTTTTTAGATGGATCACGCGTTTTAAGGAAGGTCAGGAAGACCTCAAAGACGAGGCGAGAGAGGGAAGACAACTCAGAAGGCTGTGGTGACTGTTTTTAGGGATTCCAAAGGGTAATCTTGATAGATTTTCTCGAAGGACACAGCATGATCACGGGGGCTTATTATGAAGAAGTTTTAAGAAAACTGAAAACTGCACCGGTGAGAAAAAGGCCAGGAAAGCGGCACCGAGGAATTTTTTTCCATCCCGACAATGCACCTGCTCATTCTTTTGATAGCGAAGGCTGTCCTACAAGCATTTCATTGGAAAACCTTACCCCATCTGCTCTACAGCCCTGATCTTGCCCCTTCAGACTTCTTTTTGTTCCCAAAACTCAAAGAACATTTAAAAAGAACACGTGATTCCCTCAAGGATGCTAAAACTGCTGTTTTGACATGGTGTAAATCAAAGAGCGCAGGATTTTTCAGGGAAGGGTTAAAAAGACGAAAACACTGCCTTCAAAAGTGTATAGACCTAGATGGAGGATATGTCAAGAAACAACAGCTTCACATTTTTGATTTTTGTTTAATAAAGGTTTCTATGATTTTGTAGCAATACTTTTTGACTTACCCTTATATTATAAGACTACATAATTCAACAGACCTGTAGAACTGCATGATTACAGTTCAATGGGAAAGAAGAGAGTCCGGAAATAAATTCAATTCGTATTTATTTTACATTAATATGTGCATATGTATGTGTATATATATATATATTAAAGGTATGAGCAACTTAACTATCAACTGGTTCAGAAAAGTTCTCTGTCCTGTATTTCCAACTTTTCTATAGTGTGTGATTGTTTTAAAATATAAATAAATAAATAAATAGCCATAAGTAGAAATGAGGGGGATCGTGAACTGTAATTACTCTATAATTCCTTTCAAAATAATGCCAGGAACCATAAGAAACCAGTTCTCAATACAAAGTGAACACTGAACTGAAGAGTTAGACGATGCAAAGAAATGATGGCCAACAGCAAAGCGACACAGAGGCTTTGTCAATTGCAATGATTTGGAATGCTCCTGACGAGTTACAGGTTATTATTTCTCTCATCCCTCATCACTCTCTTTAATGCACTCTTCTTCTTGTTATTCTCTATCTACCTCAAGGAGGCAAACACAAGTTATTTTTCATTTGTTTGAATTTCGGTGTCTTGAGCGTGATTGGTTTTGTTTACCGGTAGCCGTTTACAACGTTTCTCTTGTGTCTTTCTCTATGCTACAAGAACACTGAAAACGTCAGCCCAGTCCAGGGCTGCTAAACACTCCCAGAGAGGCTGCAGAAAGTCCATAAAATACTATGGCTTGTAGGGCCTACCAAAATGACAGATTCCTAGTTCCCAAACCTGTAAATGATGAGAAGGCTTTAAACACTGCATTTTTACAAACCAGTGGATTTTGTTCATTAGATTTCAATCACTAAAGTTACTCAGGTCTGAAGTCTAATGTCAATGTTCCCTTGAAGCAATCTCAATGCATAATTTTCAAACACAAGCAGTAAATTAATAAGCAGGGCAAACCTCGTCACAGCAGTCAACAGTTATATTACTTCACTATCAAATATGGAAAGGCTCATGTAGGGGCATTTCTATGTCAAATATCTGAAAATGGTCCCAAATATGCTGCTTCTAACTCTTAACTATATATATATAAACAGAAAAGAACAAAGAGATCAGTGATCCCAAGGGGCAGTTAGCAAAACAATATCTAAGACTCAGTTTTATTTCATTGTAGAGCCATTAGACATGTAACCTCTTGGCCCAGGATCCACATGATCCCTTGCTTTGACTTTCTTCTCAGAAGCCTAAAAACTTGCCAGGTTACAATAGGGAAGAAACCACTAGGAAAAAAGAAATTAATGAGAATGTGAAAACTATAGGCAATATCTTTGAACAATATTTGTATGGGAATCTAACTTGCTGTGTAAACTTTCACCAAAAACACAATAAAATACTATTTAAAAAAAAAAAAAACTGTCACACCAGCTCAGGGACAGTTTGTAGTTGATAATGACCTCTTTTTACTCATTTCCACAATTACGAGACTGACTGCACAGCTGTTTCCTAAAACTGGGGTGGGAGACAAGGACACGTGGCAGCCCCGTACTAACCACAAGACTTTGGAAAAGCTATTTAACCTCTCTGGATCCTGCTTTCCAAATATTTTTCGAAGGGCTTGTGCTTAAAAAAATTTTTTTAATGTAATTTAAAGATTAGACAGACAACTAGATACTAAAATATTGTACAATTAGCTGGCCTTCGCTGAAATGAGAAACTCTAAACAGCAGAGACTCTCTCCCTTGTGGACTCTGAAGAAGTAGCTGCCATGAATTCTACAGCCAGAAGGCACTAGATTATGCGAACAGCGTGAATAAGCTTGGAAGCGGATCCTTCCCTTGTCAAGCCTCCAGATGAGAACACAGCCCTGGCTGACATCTTATGAGACCCTAAAGCAGAGGATCCAGTTAAGCTGTGCCTGGAATCCTGACCTACAGAAACTGTGATATAATAAACGGGTATTATTTTAAGCAGCTAGAATACATATGTATCAGCAACAGAAATCCTACTGATGAGCCTGTATTGCCTTTTGTCCTGGAGGAATAATGGATCACCCAAAACACAACAAATGACTATTTCCCAACTGTCTAACGTTGTAACAAAGACAGTAACATTGAGTAATCCTTTACAAAAACCATCACAAATATACCTCATCATATATGCTCCCATTAATATCTGCGCCATAGATAGGTGCCACAAAAGTTAAGTTCTTCCAGTACTTGCGCTCCAAATCTTCATAATCCAAGTATCTTGGAGTACAGTATCTAAAAAAGGTAAATAAAAATAAACACAAAACCAGTAAGACAATTTAAAGATCTTCCCTACCCATTTGATTTAAAATACTCTGTAAACAAAATGCTATCAAAATACAAATACTGCAAATAATCATGTTTTCAAATCTAGCAAGTAAATACACATATTCCTCATAGGTATGTGAATACGCTTACAATTCCAAAATAACTCTGTATGATAATTCTACATTCCTGACTAGTGAGGAAAAAACTTCCATGAAAGTATTAACAAATTTGTTAAAAATTCATTATTTTAGCTTTCAAAATAGAGATTTTCTAAAAATCTTTAATTGATCATATTATACTATGAAATTTTATAAATTTAAGGACAAAAAACAATCTCACTACCAATCTAATAGAGTAAAACTATAATAAGATACTTTTCAATTATCGGATTGACAAATGCTTGATATATCGACAGCAGGAAAAAAAGAGATCTCTTCTACGCAGCTTCCAGAATTCTGAAAACTGAAGCCCTAATTTGCCTTATTCTACATAAATGGCACCCACAGATCTATCACTGTAAACCCACCCAATCAGGGGCAATTTTTAACAACCCATAACTCTAAAAACGTTGAAGTTTGATTTTGTCTATTCAAGTTAGGAGTCCCGGTGACACGGTGGTTAATAGCTCAGGCTGCTAACCAGACGATCAGCAGTTTGCATCCACCAGCCACTCCTTAGAAATCGTATGAGGCAGTTCTATTCTGTCCTAGAGGGTCGCTATAAGTCGGAATCAACTCAACGGGCATGGGTTATTTTAATTCAAGTTAAATTCTAAAATCCTTGAATATCTGAACAAAGAATGATTCTGAACTCCAAAAAAGGGACCGGTTCACTTGGATGACGCTTGATCTAATGAAACCTATCCCTCATGGACTGTCCTATCCCTATAGGAGCCTACAGATCCTATCCTTCATGGACTGGCAATCACAGCTCCTCCACAAATCCTGCATCAACCTGCTGACAACTGATTCAACTATACCTTCTTACCCAGAACCTTTCATTCTACATTGCATGGTTGATAAGAGAGGGGGCTCCAGGACCAGACTCCCAGGGTCTGGATCCAGGCATTGCTATTTATAAGCTACATAAGCTTGGACAGGGGACTGAATCTCCCTGGACCTCAGTCATTCCTCTATAAAACAGAGGTAGTAACAGTTGTATATAAAGCACTTAGCTCTGTGCCTAGAAGAAAGCATAAGCTCAGCAACGCAAGTGATGCAAGAGAGTGTGTTACTCACCTCCATAAAGCTTTATGTTAGAGCTATGATGGAGGTCTCTAGATTTTCTTTGGACTAAGTAGTGGTATAAACCAAATAAGCATGTTATCCTCTCTACTGTTTACACCAAACACATCACAGAACGTGTCCTACGCAAAGGCATTGTCATAAAGGAAAATAGGTGAACAGAAGACTTGCAGGAGGCCTCCTGCACTCGTGAAAGTCAGTGCCATCTCAGGACCATTCCACAACCATCATGAAGACTGTACAATCCCAGCGCAGTCTAAGAGGACAAGAAAGACAACGCCCGAGGCTTGGAAACCCATCTCACTAGCATTGGCAATAAACTTCCACATGAAATTGACAGAGGAAATATAGAAATATAAATTTGAAAAGTAATTTATTTTAACATTACCATAATGATAATGAAATTAGAGTAAATCAAAAGATAAATTAATTTTGAAAGAAATAAAATTAAACTGGAAATAACCTTTCAGGCTATTTCTCACAGTAGTTATATTTTCCAACTTAAAAAAGAACCCAACTATTTAAAAAATCATTTTTACACTGCAAGATATCAGGAAACGTATGTTGTGTTAATGAACAAATCTTTATAAACTGCCTAATAACTTACACCACTTCAAGTATATTTTACCTTTTATGACACTATTCATTCTATCAACGTATACTGAAATTGTCGTTGTGGTTGTCGTCATTGTTGTTAGGGCCGTAGAGTTGATTCCAACTCAAAGTGACCCCATGTGACAGAGCAGAACTGCCCCATAGGGTTTACTAGGCTGTAAACTTTACAGGAGCAGATTGCCAGGTCTGCTGGGTGGGTTCAAATCGCCAACCTTCTGGTTGGCAGCCAAGACCTTAACCACTGTGACACCAGGGCTCCTTATATATTTAAAGAACACCTTCCATATGCCAGATACCACACCAAGCACTAGGTATACAGTGATAGCAAAACAGACACTGTCACCTGAATGGCTATCTTTAGGAAGAACCAATCTACAAGCAACCCACCAGAGTTAAAATTGAACCAAAAACCAAACCCATTGCTGTTGAGTTGATTCCAACTCACAGCGACCCTACAGGACAGAGCAGAACTGCCCCACAGGGTTTCCAAGGAGCAGCTGGTGGATTCAAACTGCCAACCTTTTGGTTAGCAGCCATAGCTCTTACCCACTGCGCCACCCGGGCTTCAGAGATGTGAATAAAACAAGTGCCTAGTAAATAAATCCCCTCTAAATAGAAAACTGATACTGTGCTAGGATAATCCAATTGGCTAGAGATGAAGACCAAAGTCTCTCTAGACAAGAAAACAGAAGACTTCAAGGCTCTATTCTTATTCTTATTAACATTATTGTCTCTAGATATTTTGACTGTTTACATTTTTACATAAGAATGTACTGCCTTTGTGATCAGTAAAACCCATTCTGACCATCCTTCAAAATTCATCTCAACAGCACCTACAAAATGAAATTACTTCACTCCTGATTAAGCACCACAAACGTCTTACTTTCCTTTGAAACCTCACAGCACTTTGCACCTCTCCTATGGCAATAAAGATGATTACTAAGAGTATTAATAAAGATTTTTTAGTAGGTATAATCTGATTCCTTGCAAGTAAAAATTGTTCTTTAGCACATCAAAGTTACCAGCCAGAGGTTCTACTAAACGGACTAAGCTATTTCATTAATACTCTAAGAGTGACACTGGAAATGGATACTAAAAAATAAATAACAGAATACAGTAAGCAGTTTATGCGTGCAAAAAGTTGGGTGAAACTGTCTCTACAATCTTGTTTCAATAATACTGTGCTTACTAAAGGATTCTTACAGAATTTGGAAAGAAACTTGTCCACTCTATAATAACAATTTCACGTTCTCAATTACTGAGATCTGAATCCATGAGGCTTTACTAATATCTACAAAAAATTCAGAAGAATGTATTCAAATTTAAATTAAATGTAAAATTTTCACTTCTTCTGGAATAGCCAGAATGCTCCATAAGTGGGAAATTTATATACAGAATTAAGACTCCTCAAGTACTATTATGTGCTTAATATGACAAAATAAATTTTTAAAAAACATGTATCAACCAAGTTCCTCCAAAGGACTTAACCTCATATAGACCCATCCAGGGAATTTAGACCACAATGTCTTTTTGTTATTAGGAAGGACCAGTCCCTGGAGAAGGACATCATGCTTGGTAAGGTAGAGGGTCAGCGAAAAAGAGAAAGACCCTCAACAAGATGGACTGACACCGTGGCTGCAATAATGGGCTCAAACACAACAACAACTGGGAGGATGGCACAGGACCAGGCAGTGTTTCATTCTGTTGTACACAGGGTCACTGTGAGTTGGAACTGACAGCACGCAATAAATTTTTTTTTGGTTGAATAAGGTTGGTTGGTTTTTTGGGGTTTGTTTGTTGTCCTTAACCACCAATATCAGAAACTTTTTTTAAAAAAGGTAATTTAATAAAATCTCAATTGTGAATATTTTTCAATATATCCACAAATTCTTTGATACTCCTCCCTTCAAGAGTTGGAATTTAATCCTTCTCTCCTTGAGTGTGAGCTGCACTTAGCAACTCACTTCCAACAAACAGAATATGGCTGAAGTAACAGTGTGTCATTTCTGAGAAAGGCCAAGAGAGGACATTGTGGCTTTCACGTTGATCACTCTCCCTCACATCCCTTGTTCTAGGAAAAGCCAGCTGCCACACCATGAAGGATCAATCCGTGTGGTAAGGAACTCAGGCCTCCAGCTAACAGCCATGTGAAGTGAGTGATCTTGGAAGAGCATCTTCCAGCCACAGTCAAGCCTTCAGATGACAACAACACTGGCCAACATCTTGATTGCAACCTCATGAGGGACCCTGAGCCAGAATCACCCACCTAAGTTACTCTCAAAATTCCTGACTTTCAGAAATGGTGAGATAATAAATGTTGGTTTAAGCTGCTAAATTTTAAAGTAATTTGTTACATGGCAATAGATAACTAATACAATAATCCTTCCAATCATTAAGGATATCCTTCTAAAATGATTACTCTTCTAATATATATAATTAATCATTTAAGGCTTAAATATTGCCACACAAAGAAAAAAATTTGTCTAACAAAAATGAATCATGTATAGAATGAAAACTGCATGGCAACTAAAAGACAGAAAGAGATTCATTTACAGACATTATGAATGAGATAATAAAATGAGGAATAATTTCCCTAACAGTGAACTAAATGTAAGCAGGCAACCATCTGAAGAACAGAAAACAGAGACAGTGAAATGAAGACGTGAAGAGAGAGTGAGGGAGGCACCGCTTTCATCACAAACTCCTCCGTCACCGTGGTTTCTTACCATGTTCACACAGAACTTTGAAAGAAACAAAAATAGCAAACGGAGTCCACCCACTTGCCACTGTTGGCCAGCTGCCTGAACTCCTTCACAGTCATGGCTTTCTTCTGGATGTTGTACTGAGTGAAGAGTCCCGACTGCCCTGTCACTATCTGCTGGATGGGCGCTGGGATCAGCAAATCGTCAATGTCATCGTAGCACTGCCTCGGTTTCCACTCCTTAGGAGGGATCACCTAAAAAGAAAACAATAAAGTAGGATGTTGTCTTGAAAACATTCCAGGTAGTTACTTGGCTTTCATATTCCAACAGAATACAAATGAAGGATTTCTCAGCATCTCTGTGATAAATGCGTAAAGGAACCATGAAGATTCGCAATAACGGAACCGCTGCGTTCTTCCAAATATTCAGCCCCACTTATAATTTTTTTAAACAGCAAACATTTACTGACTACTCACCATACCAAATACTACACTTGTATTAACTCATTTTTATTGCTCTTAAGAATTCTATGAAGTTTTTATTGCTCTTAAGAATTCTATGAAGTTAGCACTTCAATTTTAAAGACAAATCTGACACACACACAGAATTAAAATAATGTGCTGAAGTTTAAAGAGCTAAAGGCTAGTTGAGCAGAAAGTCTGATCCCAGAATTCACACTTAGCTATTATGTTAACCTGCCTGCCTCTCAACTGAGGATGAAATTAAGCTCACATAAATCACTTCTTCCCCCAAAGAAGTCCAGTCTTTATTGATGTGTAGCTAAACAGCTAACTATAAGCTGTGTGTATTCAGAAAAATAAGTAAATACGTGTTTATATCCTCCTTTGGAAGAAATCATTTTCTATATCAAGAAACCAAAGACAATGATTTAAAGGCCAAGTAGACATTTTTTTCAGTTAAAATATCCGAAGAAAATTACCTTTGCAAGGCCTGCTCGGTGAGCTCCTTTAGACTCCATGTATGCGAGGCATTTGTTAAAGTCCCTGAACTCCTCCATGGAGGGTCTGAAGGTCATGATCTTACAGCTGGGGTTCAGAGGGCTCTCGGCCTCGGCCACCTCCATGATGGCTGGGGCAGTCTCTGCAGAGAAGATGATACAGTCGTCAGCACCTAATTACTGTGTGGGCAAGGTTAGTGGAAGGAGGCAGTGGTGGTTCAGTGGTAGGACTGTCGCCTTCCATGCAGGAGACCTGGATTCGATTCCTGACCAATGCAGCTCATGTGCAGCTACCACCCATCTGTCAGTGGAGGCTGCACGCTGCTGTGATGCTGAACAGGTTTCAGTGGAGCTTCCAGACTAAGAAGGACTAGGAAGAAAGGCCTGGTGATCTACTTTCAAACATCTGCCAATGAAAATCCTGTGGATCACGATGGTCCAATCTGCAACCAACCATGAGGATGGCACAAGACCAGGCAGCATTTCACTCTGTTGTGTATGGGGTCACCACGAGTCAGGGGCTGACTCGATGGCAGCTACCAACAACAGAGATCAGTGGTCATCTCTCAGGGGAAGGCCTGATGTCCCAAACAGTGTGTAAGCTCCCCGCAGGCCTCCTCTCCTGCAGTTACTCACCCTCCCCCTCTATCACCCCCACCGTTCCCTGGGCTCCTGAGAAAAACTGCCTCTATCGCATCTCCTGCCAAGCTCCTATTTCCGGCACTGAATAGCTGACTGGACTAGACGGCCCGCCTCCTCAAAATCCTTTCAAGTAAAAATGAATTTTCTAACTTTGCAAGTTTACAAACGATGCCACTCCTAGGTACCAGTTCTGAAGCAGACGCCCTCTCACACACACACCTGTATGAAGGCCTGGCCTAGGATGAGCAGAGGATGAACAATGTAAGCATCCCAAGTACAGAGTTTACTCAGGTGTGCTTCAGCTTGTCATACATGCTTCCCTGTAATAATTTACAAACTACTCATCAGCAGCACCACCAGGCACCAGGCTAAGGTACTGAAGAGTCAGGCTTGTCTTCACCTTCCAGGCTCGCCACCTAGCTCTGCGGACCCACACTGACAAGGGCAGAACAAACTTCAATAACGAGATGTACACAGGACAAAGCAACTAACTCCCCCTGAGCTAACCTGAAATGCCCCAGGAGAGGAGCTGAGTTAAGACTTAGAAGAAGATGTAGGAGTTGGTCAGACGAGAGAAAGAGCGTTCCAGGCAGTGGAAATATCTGGAGATACTGTAGGGACGGAGAGGAGTTTAGTGGGTCTGGAGCTTAGAAGGGAGAGATTACAGGAGATCAAAGTAGAAAAGATGGCATAGGCTTTGCTACAAACACAGGCTCAATCCTCCTGTCAATGAACAGGATGATTCTTTCAGCAAACACTGAGCACCTAATACGTGCCAGGTGTCCCTGGGTGGTGCAAATGGTTAACATGCTCGGCTGCTAACCGAAAGGCTGGAGATTCAAGTCCACTCAGAGGCACCTGGGAAGATATGCCTGGTGATCTACTTCTGAAAAATCAGCCCTTGAAAACCCTATGGAGCACAGTTCTACTCTGACACCCAAGGAGTCCCCATGAGTCAGAGTCAGCGTGACAGCAAATGGTTGGGGCATTCAGAAGGGAATAAAACAAAGTCCTAACACCACTGAAGTGAAGCAGACAATAAAGAAGTGCTATGAAGAAACCATCGTAAGGAGGTAGTGTGCAACAGGGAGGGGTAGCGATTTTATACAGAGAATTCAAAGGAAGGCAGTTCAACCAAACCAAACCCGTTGCCACTCAGTTGATTCCAACTCATAGTGTCCCTACAGGACAAAGCAGAACTGCCCTATAGGTTTTCCAAGGCTGTAATCTTTACAGAAGCAGACTGCCACATCTTTCTCCCGCAGAGCGGCTGCTAGGTTGGAACCTCCTACCTTCTGGTTAGCAGCCAGGCTTAATCACTGTGCCACCAGGGCTTAGAGGTAGTTCAGAGGAGGTTTAATTTGAGCAGAGGCTAGAGGGAAGGAGTAAATCATGCAGATATCTGGAAGAAGTGAATTTCAGGCTGAAGCAACAGGAAGGAGCCTCTTGGGCTGTTCCAAGAATAGCAAGGAGGTAAGAGTGGCTGGAACTATTAAAGCAAAGGGCATAGTGATAGTGGCAAGTGATGAGGTTGAGGAAAGTAAGGAGTTTAGCTTTTAGAGTGAGTGGGATGGGACGTAACTGTAGGCTTCTTCCTCTTCCTGTGCATCCAGTTATTGGTATGCCAACATGCATTTCCATCCAAGGAGACGTCACTGCTCTCTAAGGTCACCCTTCTGGAGGGTTTAAGCAGACGAGAGCTGGCTCCTCACACTTTCTCTCACTCTGGCTGCTGTGTCAAAAAAGGACAAGGGTGGAAGCAGGCAGAGATGAGTAAGGAGGCAACTTACAGCAACCAAAACCAAACAAACTAAACCCACCGCCGTCAAGTCAATTCCGACTCATAGTGACCCTAAAGGAGACAGGAGAACTGCCCCAGAGGATTTCCAAGGAGTGCCTGGTGGATTCAAACTGCCAACCTTTTGGTTAACAGCTGAATCTTAATCACTGCACCACCAGGGCTCCTACACTAACCAGGGCAGGGTAAAATGGCAGCTTGCCAACGAGAAGGGGTCAGACTCTAGATATATTCTGAACAAGATTTCCTAATAGAAGTGAGAAAACGAGAAGTCCAGATTTTTGGTCTAAACACATCAGAAGAATGGCTGTGACAAGAAATTGAGGCAAGGAGACTGTTTAGCACACTAGCAGCAATCAGAATTAAACATCAGCTCTCCACCTACTTTGCTAACCTTTGGTCAGTGAAGAATACTCTGCCTCCTCCTAGCTCCACCACTACTTCCTTGAAGACCCAAAGCTACTTCTACCTACAAATCAGGAACATACACTAAAGATCACACAAGCTTATGGCATAGACCTTTTTCACTCTATAAAGTTGATATATAATTATCATAAACTTAAACTGTTTTAAAAAAAAAAAAAAAAAATCAGGATAGTGAAATACAAGCTTTCCAAAAACCTATGTATTACTTAGAAGCTTGAATTTTATCATGGGCAACAAACACTGCCAATTGTTTTTGAGGTAGCAGGATCCCTTTTTTCATTTTTAAGAAAAGGCCTGTCAAATAACGTTTGTCTGTCATTCATTCTTCTAAGTTGTATTCCACGAAAAAAGTGTCTACTCCAGCTTATTTAAGGAAAAAAATTTTTTTTGGAAAAAAATTTTTAATGCTAAAATTTATAAATTATAACCCCACCACTCAAAAGTTTGCCAATATGACAGGCAAAAAAAAGTCTTGTCATTGGAAGTTCATTTATTAGTTACATTGATCTTTTCTTTTTCTTTTTACATTTATAACCATCCATAACCTGTTTACATTCTTTGCCCTTAAAAGATAGCTTATCAATTGCCTTTGTTCCTAGAATTTTTCCTAATCCACATTTACTATTATTAAATTAATCATGCTGCTTGAATTGAATTCCCAGCCCCACTTCCTTCTCTTTTACCTTTATTTCTCTGAGCCAGGAAGAAACGTAGGTTTCACCTGCTCTCCCAATACCACTTCCTACTTTGGAGAAAGACTAGTACATTTTGCAAGAAACACCACTATGATTTTTAGCCGAAGGTGATGCAATAGTCATTGTTTTAAAGCTCTTCGTCTTTCGAGACTAAGTCTCCATGGTGAGTGACAACAGTATCTGAGGGTAACTTTGTTAATTTGCTTCTGCAGTTGATTTCCAACGTGTAAGAGACCACCTAGACCAATCAGCCACGGTTATAGTAAGTACTCTGAGTATTTTTTCTTAAGGAGCTAAAGATCTTTTCTATTAAGTGAAGAAAAGCCCATCAGTAAGTCCTATAACTAACTCTCCCAAGCTTTGTTTCTGAAAATGCTCGCCTTTTTGTAAAAGAAAAGCACCTACTTACTCCCCTTGTTCTAACGCTGATGTATCTCTATTTGGCAATCAAAACAGAGCCTGAGGCAGATGCTCAACGGCCAAATGTAATGCAATACCCTATATTGCCTTCCTGTGCACATCTGTAGTTTTGTTTCTCCTATTTCAACAACTTCTGTGAGAACAGTAAGCTGATGGCTCTAACTATGCGAGTATTCGTTTCTTTGATGCAGTCCTGATCTGCTCTGCTAACAGCCTCTGAAGACAGCACTTTCCAGGATCTACTACAAGCAGGGTCCCCCGGGAACCATGGAACTATCAGTTAGGTAGACAATGCATTAGGCACAATTACCAGCAGTGCTAACCTAGACGGACACTATGCAGCCTCTCCCAGGCTTCCTCTACAGGACTCACCCAAACCCTTGAGGCCATCCTTCCAGCCCTCATTCACACCTCCTTTGAGGGGCCAAGGCTCAGGGAGTGCCTGCCACCACCCTGCTCTACCCCAGCCCTGGAGCGCTCAGTTCACCCAGCCAGGACCCAGGCAGCTCACACTATAGCTGGGCTCACGAAAGGCCGAGCATGAATCTGAACTGCAGACAACCATGCGTGGTCTAACATCAAGGCCAGACTGGAGGGAAAGGAATGGAGAGGGCCACAGTCTCCAGTCCAGCTTCATCAACAGTCAGGCTGATGATGCTTTGAGCCTCCGTCTGACTCGTTTATCTTTCTCCATGGTTCTAGACTTTCGAGGAAAAGGGAAGTAACAACGCACCTTGAAACCCCTACATGACTCCTCAGCACACCTACACACAGACTGAACCACAGCAGGCTATCTGGCTTTAAACGCTGCCTTCCGTCCATATGCCTGAGCCCCAAAGGCAGAAGCAACACTTCAAAGAAAAGCCCTTAGCCTGCGGGTCATTTCTGCCCACACCAGGCTTCATACCTTTCCCAGAGGCCCCCGGCAGTTGTTACTGAACCCTTTTGGTCCCATTCCCATCACCACTCCATCTTGTTCCACCTGCCTGCAGAGACCAGGGGTAGGAATGGAAATGTAGACTCAGGAAGATGCTTCTGGAGCAAAAGAACAAAGGCTACAGATGAATCTATGTTCTGTAATTCCCATTCTTCACAATGTTGTCCATAATTTGGTATGATCCACACAGTTGAATGCCTTCACATAGCCCATAAAACACAGGTA